TCACTCAGCGTTTTACCGTCAAGGCCAGAGATTCAGAAGCTATAGGATTTTTAAAGACAAAATCCCCTTTTCACTTAGCAGCGTTCGCACGCTCTATCAGATTGGCCAACAAGCTGCCCTGGCTAGTACCCTCGAAACTTTCAATGTAGATGTATGTTGTGTCTCCGAAACACACATACAAGACCTCACTTCCATTATCTCTCTGCGTTCTTCTGATCCAACCTCACGCCTCATCCTTCGTGTCAGGTGACTCGGCATCCGAAGCTCGCGGTGTTGCTGGTGTCGGGATTGCGCTAAGTGCCAAGGCTGAGCGCTCGCTTCTTGGCTGGATTCCAGTCAGTAGCCGATTGTGTGCTGTGCGTCTCAACGGTTCAGTTCGAGTCAACAGCTACAGAATGAAGCGTTGATGCTTGTTCGTCGTATCCGCGTATGCACCGACCGATTGCAGTATACCTGAAATCAAGGATGAATTCTACCAGCATCTTTCTCAACTACTCCAAAGTGTTCGCTCAACGGACGTCGTAATAGTCGCCGGGGAATTCAATGCTCAAGTGGGATCCCTGGAAGAATCAGAAAGCCTTCTCGGCTGACCAAATGCAATCCCCACCAACCGGACGGACCTTCGAAGCGAAGCTCTCCGATCGCCTGTTAGTTCAACCGCCAGCCGAAGGACTCAATGAACACTGGAGGCAAATCAAGGAAGCTATGCAGATATCCATAAAAACGACATTGGACCCTGCCTTCAAGCTCAAAACACAACCGATGGATATCGTCGACCTCGGTTGCCCTGCTGGAAACCCGCAGAACACTTCCTCCGGATGCCACATACAACACAGCACGCAAACCCTTTAAACGGCAGCTCATCAAGAGTCTGAGGAATGATCGCGAGAAGTGGTGGGTAGAAAAGTGTAAAGAGATGGAAAAAGCTGCGGCTACTGGTAATAGTCGTAACCTTTTCCATCGAATCAGGAATACGGGCCCTAGGAAAATAGGCGTAAGTGAGGTAATTAAGGAATGCAGTGGCGCGCTGATTCACGATCAGCAACGCCGTCTTGATCGTTGGGCTGAACATTTCAAGGCTTAGTTCAACTGGCCCCCATCGACATCTTATCTTTCACTCTCCGCCTCGATTGGGCAAATAGCCCCAGTTGGTGCTAGTCCTCCATCTGAAATGGAGGTTACCCAGAAAATAAGTCACCCCAAACGGCATAAGGCTTCCGGCCCCGACGGGCTGTCCCCATCCGTTTTTAAGGATCGAGGCTCAGCCTTGGTTTTGGAGTTAACAAAACTCCTGGGCTCAGTGTGGGAAAAGGAACAGGTTCCAACTGAATGG